CATCACTACACCAGCTCTTGAGCTAACCAACAGGATTTTTATTTCCATGGCATTGGGCCCACACTTCCCCCACAAAATCTACACCTGAGTCTTGTTCTCTCACGTGTTGGTTAATGTCCTGACCCTGTCAAGAGTTCCCCATCCCCTGTTCTACCACTCAGTTGGGTACTGGTACCTATCTCTGCCAAACAGGCCCCCAGCCATAGCTTTGGTTGGACTGGTGTGTGGCAGTCAGTGATGTTCTATGCTAACAGCCCATCGCAGGATTCCCTTGTGGGTTGGTGAATCAGTCTGGCCCAAATAGATCTTATGGACTCTCTCCTCCAAATACTCATGTTTTTATAGATGTTTTAAAAAAGCATTTTTCTTTAAGATTGATGTTACCATACACAACTTGATTCCAGAAGTAATTCATACATTTGAAAGAAACATATTAATTTGATGCAAATTCTACTTAGAGGAGAAATAGCTCAGTTAAAGTCATACTTGAACAACCAATAAAATTTCAGTGAGAATGTTTTGAATTGATGGCATCATTGTAAAGGCAAGCTAATGCAAATGGTCTTTTAGTATTTGACTAAATATGCAAATGCACATAACCTTAGTTTTTCAGGGAATAAAGTTGTAAGAAAAATAAAGCCTTACTGAAAAATATTGTGTGTATTTGTATGTGTGCATGTTTCTGTTTAAGTATTTCCTGGCAAATATGTGATTCTCAGTTTGATGAGGCCAACTGTATTTTTTACTGTATTTTTCGGAAATATTTCAATGTATTCTTAATGGCATGGTTCCAAGTCCAGTGGTTCACAAAGCCATTTAGAGCCTTGACCCATAAATGTAACTTTTCAAGTTACTGAATTTTATTAAAACCAATCTAATTTTTGTTACTACAAGATATGGACCAATGTATCACATATAAGTGTTAATGTCTTTGAAATTGAGAAAGATTTTCACAACAATGATATATTAATTATCAGGTTTTAAGTGAGATTGTCCCTTGTAATCATTTCCCATAACTTAGTAACAAATTGAGTATTTATTATGGTGTACTTTTGGCATCCGAAATCGAAACTAAGGAGCTTCAGCATTGCATTGCTTCTGATGACTTCCATTTACTTGCCTTTTGCAGTTTCTAGCATCTGCCTAAATCCCTTCACTTTTGGTTCATTGTTTCCACTGAACTAAACTTCTACAGATTATGGGGGTCCCTCGTCCCGCGAGCAAGACCCCGATACGGTAAAGATTCTTTAAAAAAGTTTATTGGTCAAGACTTCAAGCGTTGTGTCAAAGTGAAAGCAGTTACAGCACTTGTAAGATTTATTACAGTAAAGCAAAAGCAGCCTAGCGCTAGCTAGCAATAGCCTTGAAGTGATAGCGATAGCTCTAGCTCTAGCAGTGCGCCTGGGAGAATCTCCTCATTAACTATTTTTCACCCAGACCTTTTTACATTACACAAACCAATCCATACACAGTTCCTCACATCATGTGGTAAGCACACCAATCATGACTTAGGTCACGTAGCTTCCCTGCGTGCTCGGCCCAATCCTTAGTAACTTCCCAAAACCTGTTTACCACCTTTGTGCCACGAAGCAATGGTCAGCAAGCGCCATCTTTGAGCCGCGGCTCAGCTCTCCACAACAGATATCTTAATGACTCATTTTTCTTTGGAACTTCTTACTTCCTTTTTATAAGTATCCTGGGAAGATACTTAGAGTCCACATGGATAAACTAGGATAATCTCAGCACATTAAAATTCCAAATTTTTTAACTTTTGCAAAGTTTTTCCTTTACCATATGCAAAGGATAAATTTCTCAGGTTCTGTAATTGTTATTTAGATAATTCTGGCAAGGCTGGGAATAAAGGAGCGGGAGAAGTGGAATGACATTATTTCCTCTCTCATACTGGCCTAACTGGTTAATTAAACGAAGTCCCTTAAAATTGGTGGCATGTTCTATTCAATGGTATGTGATAATGTTTTTGTAGTTCTGCATTCTGTCTTCCATTGTTTTCAATTTCTTGGACTTCTCCAATGCATAAGTTTACTCTTCCTAGAGATACCTTCCTGTACCCTATTTGTCTAATTTTGGCACTTTGTAGTAATTCTTTATGATGCATGTTTATTATCACTTGTTCAAGAAGATTTCCAGTGCCACTTAAAGGGCCATGTTCTTTTTTATGCTTGACTGTATTGGGTTAATAAACTGCATAACAAGTCCCTATGATTAGGAACATAACAATTTCCTGTTGGTTGTTTCGTAATTTCTGAGTCTAAGGTCTGGGATAAATGTTTACCTGAAATTTTCTACTGCTTCACAATACTGAAATCAAGTAATCAGGAAGAGTTAGGAGCTCAGAGCCAGATCCAAGTTCTTCTTCCCTGTTGGTAGTAAAATTCAGTTCCTGGTAGTTTACAGCTCTGATCTTTCTTCCAGCTGGCCATCTCCCTGGAATGTTTTCAAATGGCATTTCCAGCCATGTACAATAATAGTGCAACTTTAATTTTACTTCTTCAAGCAAGCAGGAGAATGCCTCTCATGTCCATTAAAGCCTCATCTATTTTTATACTATCTTCACATGATAATTTTTTTATTAGCTTGCTTAGATTTATTTATTTTTCAAAAGAGAGTCTCTCTCTCTGCCTCCCCTTCTCTGTCTCTTTTTCTCTCTCCCCTCCCTCTTTCTCTCTTTATCTCTCTCTACGTCTCTTTCGTGCTCTCTCTCTCTTACACACACACACACACACACACACACACACACACACACACACACACACACTTCATCCATCAACTAGCTCTCCCCAAGTGACCACAATGCCGCAGTTGGGCTAGGCCAAAGCCAGGAGCCAGGGAATTCTTCCAAGTCTCCAACGTGGGTGCAGACACATGAAGATGTTTATCATCTTCTACTTCTTTACTAAGTTGGTTTGCAGCTATGATGTGAGCTAGCTTCTGTATGAGATGCCAGTATTTCAGAAGATAGCTCAACATGCTAGGCCAAAACATGGGTCTATTGCCTTTTCTTTGGTTTTAATTACATTACAAAGAATCTTATCATATGATGTGACATCATAACAAGAATGATGTTCTATTGTTTCTTAAACCTTATTGACATTTGAATAAAATTACAGAGTACATACACTGGAGGTGAAGACCGTAGAAATGAAAGGAGTCTGGCTCATTTGGGACTCCTTTTCATGAGAAATTGATCTTGTTTTTGCTTATTGTACTGCATTGATTGACTTACCTATTTGAACCTCTCATTGATTATAACACTACAAGGTATTGCACTGTCCTCCATATAGTAGAAATTCATGACATATTTCCATAATGAATTAATAACTGAATCATAATGATGCAGAGATACAGGGAATTCATGTACATTGTACAAAAGAGAATATCAAGAGCATTTTCTCAAATGAGTAAGAATTGTTCAACTTCACAATGTATTATACGCATGAAATTAATTTCAAAGCAACAGCTAAATCAACTTTCCACTAACGAAGCAAAATGCCTAGTCTCATAATTAAATATTTAGAAGATGATTAGAAATAAAGGGTTTGCATGAGAACTTTTCCTGAAGAACAACATTGTTTTTCTCAAGCAATTGTGGCAGATGTTTATTCAATGTAATTTCCCTTGTTTTTAAAAAACTGGGGAAAGGCTTTATGATAAAAGTATGTCCAGAAACATGTCATATGCAACACATTTCAATCATAATTCAAAGAAAAAGGAAAAGGCCTTGTTCCTGTTTGAATTCTCTTTCGTTCCCACATGGCTTTTGAAGAAAGTAGTCACCAGATGACTTTAATGAAAGAAATACTTCTCTGACACAAAATGTACTTTCACATTTTTTTCTTTTTCTTTTCTGTGTTCCTTATGTATAAATTGAAATATAGAGTGTTAATTTAGTACAATTTGGCTCATATTTTATGAGCACTAGTGATATCAATTTAGTTACTTTATATACTTTGTTAATCCTTCTAGCAATTTCAAGATTACATTTTTGATATTTGTTCTTTTAATTGGAGTTGAGGGAGATATAGGAATCTTCTGATTTTTATGTTGTTTCCAATTCACTGTAATTCTGAATTTTGTAAACTTTACCCATTACCTATGTTCTTTATATTATCCCCTCATTATAGTGGTAAAATGAATGAGGTATAATTCAATGAATACTAGCAATTGGTGTGTATCTGTGTGTTTAAGGAATTCATTCTGTCATATACAGAAGCTATGTTTATAAATATATCACGTACATGTACAATCATAAATGTATATCATATATTTTAATTATTTATATTATTTAAATGCTCTCCAAATAACTAATATCAAAATATATTAACTATGTGCTTTAAACTGGCACTTGTGGAATCCTTTATTTTCATCAATAAAATGTTCCTAACTTTGCTTCACTTTTTGTTGACATGGATTCTCTTGGATCTAGCCATAGTATTTCTTATCCCAAAATATCCCTATACATTTCACACAATGACAATCATTTTATCTAGCTACATGGTCTAAGTAAAACATAACAACTTCAAGATCAAGATGTTTCTATTAAGATTAAAGGCTTTAATGCAGTGATTTTTTTCAGTGTTTACTTGTTTTTAAAATAGCAACAAATCTATCAAGCAAAGCTTATGCTGATAGCAATCTCCGGGATGCCAGAAGAAAAACACAGGAAGCATTAAATCATTAATAATGTATATTTTTAATTGCAGTGTTTTCAGAGGATGTTGCTGAACAAGAGATAAGGAATATAAAGAAACAAAATGATGTATTTTTAAAATATTAGTATTTAACATTTCTGCTTGCTGGTACTATGTTAGATGAAGCATAGAAATCACAAATAACTTTTCTTTCTTAAATTGTTGGGCAGAGTCACAATGATAATGTGGAAGAAAACTATGAGTCATTGGATAGAGACTAAATTGAATGCAATAATGCAAAACTATGCCAAGTAAATGACAGAACTGACTTTTTGATTGTTTCCTTTCCAGGCTCTCACTGTGAATTTGGGCCGTGTGAGCCTACAAACCCTTGTGAGAATGGAGCTGAATGCAGAGAGAAGATGAATCTGGAAGCATTTCCCTTTGGATTCCAGTGCCAGTGTGGGGAAGGCTTTGCAGGTGCTCGCGGTGAAATCAATGTCAATGAGTGCAGTTCTAGCCCTTGCCTGAACGGATACTGCTATGACAGTGAGTTCACTATGCCATTACTGCAGTTATTGAATGGTACTTCAACTGAAAAAGAAACAGAGAATTGAAAGAAGTCAGAACATACCAATAATTCATTAGTGAATTCAGCCTGCCTTGAACATCAATGCCAAAGTCAGTTATTTTCTCTTAGCACCATGACTTCTAAGCAATTAATTTATATTGTTTTGAGTCATAGCTGTAAAAAATAAAGGTTTTTAAGGATTTATTAATTAATTTGAGAGGCAGAATTATAGAAAAGAGGGAGAAAGTGTGAGAGGAAATAGAGATATCTTCCACCTGCTGGTTCTTTCCCTATATAGCCAGAGCATCAAGGACTGCGACAGGTCAAAGCTACAAACCCTGAACTTCATCTGGGTCTGCCACGAGGATGACAGAGGTCTAAGTACTGAGGCCATGGTCCACCTCTCGCAGGTGCTTTAACAGGGAGTAGGGGTAAGCCAATAGATGGGTGATCTTTCTGTCTCTCCTGATATTATTCTGCCTTTCAAATAAATGAAAAAGAAAAATTTTTAATTTAAAAAAAAACTAGAAATAAATCTTCAGTATAATCTAACTGTCCCACAGACAGATATATATTCAAGAGCACTAAAACCAGCCTAATTGTAATGACATCTGCACTCGCATGTTTATTGTAGCACTGTTTATCATAGCTGCAGTGTAGTATCAACCAATTGTTTTGTTATGGATGAATGTGTAAAGGAAATTAAGTAAGTTTTCAATGGAATTTTGAGCAGTCACAAAGAAAAATTAAATCCTGCCTTTTGCAGCAAAATATGTAAGACTACAGTCCATCATGCTAACTAAGAGGTGTTAGGTTCCAAACCGAAATACTGTCTTACTGTTTTAGAATAAAAAAACAGTAGATCTGAATGTAAAGTAGGAATCACTGCATGTTTGGAAGTTGTGTGTGTTTGGCTAAAGGAAACGTGAAGAAAGAAAATCTAGATAACGTGCATTAAAACACGCTCAAACAGAAATAATAAACGCTATTGTTCCACCACGCAAAGGATCATAATCATGAATTACTTATTTTATGAAGAGCTATCAGAAAATAGGTCAAGGTCTCTAGATGTAGGGAATGGTAGGTGAGTATAGTAAACTTTAGGAATGAGATGGATATCTCAAAGAAAATTCACACATTCCTTTGAAAAATATGTAAAGGAATTGTCATCATGGTGAAGTAGGTTAAAGCTCAACCTAAGGCCCTGGCAACCTATGTGGACAGCGATTGGAGTCCTAGTTGCTTCCATTTTGATCCAGTTCTTTGCTTATGGTCTGAGAAAGTAGTGGAGAATGATTAAAGTCCTTTTACATCTGCATCCACATAGGGGGCCCGGAAGAAACTGCCAGGTCCTAACTTCACATTGGCTCAACTCCAGGTGTTGTGGCCATTAGTGGAGTGAACCAGCAGATGCAAGAATTCTGTCTCTTCTCTCCCAATAAATAGGACTTTCAAATAAAAATTAAATATATCCTCACAAATTTTTTTTTAATTTTAAACTGACATGTAATAATTGTTCTTATTTAGAGAATTCAGTGTGATATTTCAATACATATGTCTAACAATCAAATTGGGATACTGGCATTTCTGTCAGTTCAGTTGTATCTCATTTCTTAGTGTTGGAATATTCTTAATCTTGTCTACTAGCTGTTTTGAAATATTCAGTGAATTGTACCAAAACTTAGTTGCCCTACTGGGGTTTACGCATTTCCAATTTTAGTATTTCTCAATATTTTTTAAACCCAAAAGCTTGGAAAGATTTAAAATCTCATTAACAGAATATGCAACAATGATTCTGTAACCTGTAACTTCATATTTTGTCAATGTATATTTTAAAACTCCCCCTTATAATATTGTTTTATATATACATTTAAGTATATGGTTTCATTACTAATTTCTGGCCAAAAAAAAAATGTAAAACCTTTGGAGTCTCCAAAGTGATATATTTTGTACCCAAGTGAGTTGGCCACTGCATGGCTAGTGATGGTTTTGTTCAGTATCAGGGCTGGTCAGTAGAAACACTTGGCTTGATTAGAGGTTTGTAACTTTCAATCTTATCTCCCATTCTTCCACAATGAGAGGATGATCAAAGTTTGAATTGATATCTAATGGCCAATGACTTGATTGATCATTCCTGTGTAATGACTTTTCCATAAAAACACAGAAGGTTCAGAGAGCTTCTCCCAAACTGATCTCATGGAGACTGTGGATGTATGATGAGCCTCAGAGTGGTAGAGATACTGCTTCCTCACTTATTCCTATGCATATTGTCTTTGTTCTTATGTGTTATTTTTGTTCATAATGTGCCAGTAAGCATAAAAATGCATCAAACTCACTTTTCCATGTGTATACATATGTACACATATAATATATGCTCAAATATATATTTTGGAAGTACCATAAATTTATAGAGGAAAAGAAAAGGCAAGAAAAAAAAGGGAATGTAGAGGAATGAAAAGAGTGGATATTGGGACATGTATTTGCCTGCAGAGCATGTCTTTAGTGCATCACTTTGGCTCAGGTACACAGAAAACTGGCCATGACATTGTGTTGCGCAGTCAATGTGGTGAAGAGACAAGAAGAGGAAAATAAAACCTTATAAAGTGCTATAAATTTTCCACGTTTTTTAGTTATTCATCTCCCCTTGAGATAATTTCTACATGAACATCCAGCAAGTGAACAAGTTTTTTAAAATATTATTCGTAAAAGCACACTTCCATTTAAAGTTATTTGTTGTGATATCTTATCATTTTACTCAAGCTATGAATTTTTTTTAAAAGATTTATTTATTTATTGGAAAGTCAGATATACAGAGAGGAGGAGAGGCAGAGAGGAAGATCTTTCATCCGATGATTCACTCCCCAAGTGAGCGCAATGGCCGGCCGATGCTATGCTGATCCGAAGCCAGGATTCAGGAACTTCTTCCGGGTCTCCCACGTGGGTGCAGGGTCCCAAAGCTTTGGGCTGTCCTCCACTGCTTTCCCCAGGCCACGAGCAGGGAGCTGGATGGGAAGTGGAGCTGCTGGGATTAGAACCGGCACCGATATGGGATCCTGGTGCATTCAAGGGGAGGACTGTAGCTGCTAGGCCATGCTGCCGGGCCCAAGCTATGAATTCTTAAATCCAAGGATCTGAACATGTATGTTCTTAATAAAGAAAACTGTTTTCCTAGATAGGTAAAGTAGTTAGTCTTGGTATGAATCAAGGTGATGGTGGATCCCTAGGAAACTGCACAGTCTATATAGATTCTACTCTGAAACTAATTCTTCTAATACTAGAAACCCTAACAGCACAGGTCAGTGACCCCAGGGTCACCACCTATTTACTCTTCTTGAGGTATACCACCTAAGGATTTCTTCAAAATTTTGACACTTTAAGATTGCCCTTTTAAATTTCTGAAATTCTGAAATTTTCTTGAAGCAAACTGGCATTATATTATCTCATTTCTCAAACCTACAAGTGTTTGGTAATGCTAGAATGATTTTCAAGTCTCTGGTCCTCATTCTAATAAAAATAAAAGAGGACTTAGCCTCTTAGTGATACGTCTTAGGAAGAGTTTTGTTTAATATTCTGGAAACCTTACAAAAGGCCAAAAGTAGATAATTTTAAACTGTAATATTTTGAATAAAAACCTGGGCAAATTAATCATACAAAAGTAACCTAGTTAGCATATGTATTATGTGCTGCCAAATGAAATATAAAAAACACACTCAAACCAAATTGGGCATTTTCATTGTTTTTTTTTTTTTTTGCAAATTATTACTACAAATCCATTGTAATTGTTATTTCTTCATATAATTGAAGTCCTTAAGCTAAATAGGACTTAGTAAGGTAGACATTCAGGACATATTATAAATGTGTAATAGACCATTAAATATAAGAATTCAACCTTTCTTATTTAAAAGGAAGTGAAGAAAAGAGTAAACATTTTTAAAATAACCAGCATTATAATATCTGAATTGTTTAAAGGAATATTAAGAGTTGTGTCTTTCCTCCGTTGCAGTGGCGGGTGGTTTTTCCTGCCTATGCAATCCAAGCTATGCTGGACTGAGATGTGAACAGGATATTGATGACTGCATACTGAATGCCTGTGAGCACAATGCTACATGCCAAGATCTGCAGCTGGTAAGTGTACCATTGTCCTCATGCCTATGTCCGGATAGATTAATATAGATTTTTTTTTTTTTGCTTTTTTATTTTGTTTTGATCTGGTGCCTGAGACTCAATCTTTTGATATTAACATATGTATACATATACTTTTTTATTTATTTCATGGTAATTACATGGTTGACCAAGGTGGGAAGAATGAAGGATTAGGGAAAAGTGGGTGAAATCATTGCCTCTTAATTGTCCATTTCTTCTTGTTTCTGAGTCAAGGGGAGATACTAAGGGGGAAACCACACCCAGCCTCCCAAATGTCCCAGCTCCCAGGGATGGGGAACCACCACTCAGTTTCAACCCAGGATCCTGCTGTAGTGCATGCTCCAAGGGTTCTGATTCAGTGGTTTGGATAGTTCTGCAGTGCTGTCGATTTCGCCAATCCAAGGGTGATAGAGTCCTAACAATACCTGTTGGCTGATATAGTCGACCTCAATTCTCCATATACCCAGATTTTTTCTTCCATCGTCTGCAGGGTTAGTTGTCCAATTTGCTCTGTTCTCCTTCTTCTGCAGTAGTACCAGATGGCTGCCATATTCTGCATGTGCATCAGGATCTACATCTATAGCTATGTCTATTATTTGTGGGGCATATATTGTGGCATAATAGGCTAAGCTGTCTGGGGATTCAACCAGTGGGATGAAGATTCTCTGCTTACCTCTCTGTCTTACTTTCTCTTTCTTTCTGTAACTCCTTAAAAATAGACAAGTAATTCTATAAATAGTAATATTGTATAAAATTGATTCACATTTTAAAATTCCAAATAGCAGCAGTATTGAATTCATATAACATTTCAGCAATTAATCTAAAAAGTGGCATGATTGCTACCATCACGTATTTTTGTCTAAATCAATGTATTACATTCATTTGTCATTTCTCATTGTCATCTGTCAGTTTAAATTTTACTTTTATTTCTGTCTTATGCTATATATTTTCATCAGTTCCTTCACTCATCTGTGTTGATGCTGTCCTGGTGGTACACATCTATTTGTCATTGCCTTTGTCACAAGCATGTGCTATTCTGCCTTAAACGAAGTGTGACACAGATGGAAAATCACGGTAACGCCTCAGACTCCTCATTTCTCAGAAAGCCTGACATAAAAAATATCTACTCAAGGTGGAGTTACTCACTGGCTGGCTTCAGAAAATTAATGACACACTACACAAGCTAATGCTGTGATGCTAGAGAAGGCTTATAGTTATTCCTCAGCAACACAACCGACTTTTCACAAAAAAGACTCCAGTAGGTGATGTTAGATAACAAGGTTTGAAAAGCAGACTTGTTTTTGTCAACATATTTTGACTACCAGTGCACTGATTTGTTTGTTTTTGTAATGAAAGCATAATCTGTGTCATACTGTTTCTCTTCTACAAGGAAGGCATGCACCTAATGGGATAAGTAACTGACATTTGAATATCTGTGACCACCAACCAAGATGAGATATAGGTTGATAAACCACTGTTTACTTATGTGTTGCCTCCTGGGCTTCATTGCTGCCTTTTGCTTCATCTTTGTTTTTACAAGATGTGTCAGCCAAGGCAGCCAGGCTAAACTCATCCCACTCTCGGGGTTCTAGAAGTGGATATGTGGCCATATGTTGGTCTCAGACAGGAAGGACGTTCTCCTGAAGAAATGCTTTTCCACTTGCCTTACAAGATGTAAGACAGAGGTAAGCATGCCATCTTCTAGACCTTCTAACATACGATTTTTATATAATGATTCCTGTTACTGTTTTCAAGTAAAGGAAGGCAATGCAACCTGATAATAATATTTCATACCAGTAGAGCCTAGAAGTAGGAGTTTCAGGGGGCGGGGGCGTCTGGCTTTCGGATAATTGTTGATGTGAATGAACCTCCCAGGTGCTTGCCCAGTCTTTGATCCCAATTAAATGAGAGCACTTATATTCCCTTATTTGATATAATTTGAATACAGAGTTACTCTTACATTTAGCTAAGAGTATATAATGTGACACATCCATAATCTAAATGAACTTCATTGCAGCCTATAATTTCAGCTATAATTTCAGCAGTAGTCAGAGTTCATTTTAGCTGAAAAATTCTAACCCATTATTTTAAGATTCTAGTTCTAGGGTTAACATTATCAAAACATCGCTGTGTGACACCACGTTATTCAGCTAACTGGTCAGGAACTTCAGCTTTGGCAGCTGAATCCTACCAAATAGCAATTTCCGCATATACTGTTTTCTTATCTGCTATAAAGAGCCAATAAGAAAACTTTCAGACTGACTTTAATATAATTTTACAATTCTGACTCCTGCTTCTGAATATTATTTCACTTAGAATAAAGGGGGAAAACATTAGAAAGCAAAGTTGAAACACAAATGCAGTATTAAAACTAAATAAATTTCACCAAGACAATGCAATTTTATTAGCAGGTTTAAAATTGTTTTTGTTTTTGATTAATACATAGAACTTGTACTTTAATTAGGTTCAGTGTAGCATTTCTGCACTTGTAAACAGTATTTAGTGCTTGGATCACTTAATTAGCATAGCCACTAGTTCCATTTCTTTATACTTGGAACTTTTGAATTCGTTTCTTTCAGACATAGCACACGACTGTGAAATGTAGTCACCACACTCTGCTAAAAACTCTATCACTACTGCTTCTGCTGAATTGTAGTACCTGATTGTCTCTTCCATTCACCCAGCTTCCTGCCCTCTTGAATCTTTGTCACATAATAAAATGTTAGGAATTAATGTAATAAGTCTTGTTCATTTGTTTAAGTTTATTATGTATATTTGAGAATATTCTTGATGGGTATTAAAGTAAGTGATTGTTAGTGTCTTATTTTCTTTCTTGTTCTACTTTCACTCTTTTGTATCTTACATAAATAATGGATGCTTAATTTTGATAACACTATGAAAAACAAAAATAGTGAAATAGAATTTATATATGCAGATAAAATTGTATTAAAAACAACTATGTAATATATGCATGTATAACAATATACTACAGATGTAAATATTCTCCCAAATACTCAGGTACAAAAACAAACCAAATTTATGAGGTCTAATAAAAAATAAAACTGGTCGTACTGTCACCTACCATCTGATTGATAAAAACCATGCCAGTTACCAGGGAGTTGCTCATTTGCTTCCCATTAGGTCGTAAACACCATGTCTGCATCAATCAAGGATTAATATGAAGTTACTGCTGCTATGGCTGCTGCTGTTACTCTTGTTGTGATATCCCCACGCTTGTTTCAAACATGAGTTCATTTGCCAAGTGATTCCTCTTTCCATATCAGATCTGACTTCTAAGATCTTCTCTGCTGTCTTCTCTGCACGTGTGTCATGCTTAACTAATATCGGTGGTCATGTCCTGTCCCAGTTGTCCTTTTAGCATGCAGAATCAGAATCACTAAAACATCTAGGTTCTGTCCTGTTAACTGAATTATAATCCCCCACCTAAATGTGGAATCAATTTATCTGCTCTCTGTCCAACTATTAGAACTTCTGTTTCTTTCCTGTTTTCCCTCTCTGTAAAATACAGTTAAGCTCATTGAATGAACATTAAGAGAAACACTAATCAGAACCAGAATTGGGAAGCTACAGAATTCTTGCATTTCAGCTACCTATATGTACCTTGATGGAGAAAAAATATATATATATACATATATATATATATGTGTTGAAAATGATGTAATAGTTATGTTCTCAATAATTTCCCTGTTACTTAGGAACATGAAAAATTTACCCAACTTCAGATGTCTTAGCTCTTATAGAAAACCTTTATTATGGCTGCTTTGTGTATTAATATTGAATTCAAATTTGGTTGCTATGGTGTGTAGGATGAAATGTTACCTCTGAAAACTAAATTTATTTCTGGTTGATTTTACAAAGAAAAAAATGAGAAGGAGGAAGAAAGAGAGAGCGACAGAGAGACAGATTAATTCTACTTGTGATTCACTCCTCATAAGTCAACAACAGCCAGTACTGAGCCAGGCTGAAGCCAGAAACTAGGAATTTAAAAGATATCTTCCTATGTATGGCAAAGATCCATGTACTTGAGCAATCAATTGCTGACCCTGGGGTATGCATTACCAGGAAAATAGAACTTGGAGGACTGGATGCTGCTGTCCAAAGTGGGACCCTAAGTGCTATGCCAAACACCAAATCCTTATTCATTTCTATCTTGATTAATTAGTCATATTTATAATTGTGAGAACTTAAAGGAATAGACAGAGCAGTTGGAAATCATCTGGTTTTGAAATGGATTTATTCTATGATTTATTAATATTTCCTTAACTTATTAGAAATGAAAAATATAATATTCATTAAAGTTTAATATGATTCTATTACTTTAAAGGTTGAATAGCTTTTCATTTTAGTTTATTGACAGAATGCAATAAATAACCACCTATTGTAGCATATTATAATAGGCTTACCAATTTCTTCAATGAAGTATAATTTGGAATTTTGGAAAACTTGGAATTGAAAATCCAGTCCAAATTGGTATTTACTAGGTAGATCTTGGTGTATGGATAATGTAGAAAACTTTGTGAATTTGATATGATGGGAACCACAGAACTAGATAAGTAGATGGCCCTTTGCAGCTTTAAATTGCTGTGAAACCCTTAGGTTTCTGTTTACGTGTACTGATAATTCTCCATCAACAACTAACAAGAATAATAATGGTTGGCCTGAAAAATTGAGAGCTAAACGTCCTCTGTTTTAAGCAGCATATTTCATAACATCTTCCTTTTCTAATCCTTTTCTCTCTTGGATTCTTCCATCTGCTACAGCGCTTTGTTTTTAACACAAAAGGAGTCAAATCTAATCTCTGCTTTCTACTGCTTTTGTGAGAGAGATGATAGCACATTGTTTGCTACTCACTGCTTTGATAATTCAGTAAATGTCATTCTCCCTGCAGATTAACATTTGTTAATAAGAAAATCTGTGCTTGATATGTTTATAACTTTCCTAAAGTTCTCAATACAATATGT